GTTATTACTACTTCAAATAAAAGCCATGTCTTCTTATAATTATTTAATTAGACGTGTATCTCGCTTGAAGGTTCGTAGTCATCTCTCCTCATTACAATTAAAGTCGTGTACCTTAGTTACCTAAGTAGGTTGCATGACAATTTGAGCAATGATGGTTAATTAATGCAATATCTACAACCCAATTTTATTAGACATTCTACTATACGGTGTGTTTGGATAAACTGATAGATTATAACAATGCGTCCTTCATTAAATAGTAGGTATTAAATCCCATATAAAAATGCGTTGTGAGTTACTATGCGTGTTAAAGTTTGGCCTTCACTGGAAATAGGTATATTGGGGGGTTAGGAAAAAAGATAGGATGAAGGCTCAGAGATCCTCCCAGAAAAACCGGCCCAAAACCACCCCCAAAGGTACATTTTCTTATGTTTGTGCAATTTTCTCGGAAACTATTGATTTTTTCGAAAAATGTCTAGAGACCTAATTTAAAGATAAGAAAATTTCCTATCGATTGGTATGCAATGTTTATAATCACTTAATAACTAATCGAAAACAAGGTAATAAAGTTAAGGTAAAAATAAAAAATGTGACATATTTAATAAAAATAGAAATTAAACTCCTAATGATCTATCTATTTTGAAGAAAAGTAACTATTTTGAGTTATTTCAGTTATTTTTTCTTTTTTTTTAAGATTTCTTCGAATTCAGATAATAAAATTGATCTTTTTCTGTATCTAACAACTGTTGCTTGTTCAAAGGTTAAATTAAGAATTAAGACTCCAGTGTGATTTCTACATTACCCAAGAAAACACTGTTCGACATGTTGGCCCGGGAGCAGAGATGTTTCAAAACTGTGATCACGAAGAAGCAGAGACTAAAATTATCCTACATATAATTCATGCTCTAAAGACACATTCAAAAACAGTTCTCGTGAAAAACGTAGATTCCGATATAATTGTTATCCTAATAAATCATTTTGAATATTTCCAACAGCTTAGACCTGAATCTTCAATATACCTATATTATGGAACGGGAAAAAACAGAAGGAAATTAAACATTGGAAACCTTTACCACGCTTTGGGGCCGAAACTTAGCCGCGCTCTTCCCCTATTTACCACCTTAACAAAATGTGATTCCACATCGTCGATAAGAGGAAGATAAAAAAAGACCGCTTTTCTTGCAATGCAAAGAAGAGGAGACTCATTAATATCCGCAATGTGTGAGATTTTAGCTAAACCAATGGTATAAGTATTGAAATAAACTCTCCCTTGTTCAGTGAACTAGAAACTTTTTTGTTAAAATTTACGGCGGGGAAACAGTTTAGAAAGGAGGTATTTTGCCACCGGAACCATAACCCAAAGACCATACCTCCCACGCAGGATGCTTTACTGCTACACTGCAAAAGGGCTGTGTATCAAGCGAGCATATGGGCTTCTGCGGGAAATCCTTTGATTCATGATCCAGACCCTTCTGATTTTGGCTGGGTGAAATCTCCCGAGGGCAAACTTAGCCCAAAGTGGATATCAATCCCACAAGTTAGTAAAGCGTGCGAAGAACTTATCAAATGTAACTGTAAGAAGGGTTCCCTTAAAGCATGCAGATGTAAAAAAAGAATCTTCCCTGTACTTTGTTATGTAAATGCGTTTGTTTAAAATCTTGATATATCTACACAGTAAATTCTTTGGTATATTTTTTATCTGTGTTGTTTTTTTTATATTATGTATTTTAAGTTTGCGTTTTTGATATTTCTTATATTCAAGAGTGTACCAGAGTACATAGGTATTAGGGAACTAACAATGTTTCACCTGTTAAAAATTGATTAAAGTGTCGGGAATTAAGAGCCAATGTATTTTTGCAATATTTGTAGGGTTATTTTACAATTTATTTTTTGTTGAAGATAAACATGTTATATACCAATCGAAAGGAAATTTTATTTTCTTTAAATTAGGGCTCTTGATATTTTTCCGACAAAATAATATTTTCTGAGAAAATTGAGAAAAACTAAAAAAAATGCACCTTTGGGGGTGGTTTTGGGGTAGTTTTTCAAAAGGAATCCCCGGGCCTTCACCCTATCTTTATTTCTAGTTCCCCAATAAAGACTTTTTGGGCAAAAGCCAAACTTTAACACGCACGGTAACTCACACTATGGGATTGATACCTACTAAAAAAGATAAACGTAGCTTAAACTTAAATATTTAAAGATAATTAATAATTTTTTTTCATTTTCACCCCCTCCTTTATATTTCTAGCCTATCTTCCTAATATTACTACTAAAGTCATAATAATTAATAATAGATTCCTATACAAAATATTTCCTAATCCTAATCTTATGAACTAATCTTATGAACTAAACGATTGTTATTGGATTAAAAATTAAAACGTTATGGTCGTGAATTCTTTAACCTTTATTATACTGCTTCGGGTTTCCTGCTGCTATTTACTAGCAGTACTTTATCATCGATGTTTAAACAAATTTTGTGAATCTTCTTGTCATAATAAAATTTTGGTTTTTAATTTATTGAAATTCAAATAATCTTAAACTCTCTTATGAGCTAATTGTAATCTGTATTTGACTTCTTTCGCAAATGTGTTTATATTGTAAATAGGTTCACCTTTAAGATAATCAAATAATGATATTGTTGACCAAAAATTAGTTCAAATGGAGTGTAGTTATCAACTGCTGTACTAGGTGAGGTAATATATCATAAGTATTCATCCCATTGATACAGCATTTCATCTGAATGAGGTCACAAATATTCGTTAAGAACACGATTATTTCGTTCAATTGTCCCTACTGTTTCATGTCTATAAGCTGTAGATGTTTTATGATCTGTTTCAAGTAATTTACATAACTCAGAAAGGACTTCGTTTTTAAATTCTGATCCTAAATCTGTTCTAACTTCTTTCATTGTTTCAAAAATCAAAATAAAATTATTATAAATTGCTCTTGCGACTGTAGAAGCTTCTTTATTGGGTAGGGGAATAGTCACAAGGTATTTAGTCACAAATGAGAGTTATGAGGTTATGACATATTTATTTCCTCTATCTGATTTATGAAATGGACCAATTGTATCTAAGATTACAATATTGAATGGTTTGAAGGGTGTAGGTGTGAGTGCTAAAGGTTCTCTTACTTTATGTTTAGGTTTATTTATTTGACAATTTGTTGTACATTTAGCAAGCCTTATATCGTTATAAAGAGAAAAATTTCTTTTTTAAACATGCAAAGCCAACTACGACTATCATTTAAAAAAATTAAAGTTTGTATTATAACTCAAACATTGTAAAATATAGAAGGAAATTAGTATGTTCATAATGTTAAGCATTAAAATACCTAAAACTTTTATTCGTGCCATTTTGCTGTATTTCTAATAATAACGATTCTACAACATTTTGTTTTTCGCTCATATCTATAGTAAACTGTGGATTTTTTTCAAAAAACAAAAGCATATCTTAAATAAGCTCTCAAAACGACAACTCTTTCCTCATTTAACCGAATCTCTGTCTTACGGTTTCCCAGATCAAAACTCACCCTGTATATAGTTCAACTAAATTGATTTATTCTTTGCCGTCTTTTATATGTATAATATTTACAGATTTATTGTATTATTATCAACATTTCTGATTATGTTAAATTGAATATAAGGACTGACTTCATAATTATTAATAGTTTCATATACTGTCATTGGTACATATGGTTACCTTTTTATTCACATCTTGTCTGTTCTCTGAATAATTAGGTTTGGTAGCCATAAATCGGTTTGTCATTGTTAATATGTTAACGTTGTCTTGAATTTTCTTAATTTCTGACACCAATTTTAGACAATGCGTCCGCTCCTACAATTGTTCTTTCCAGGAATAATGTATTCAATTTCGAAATCATATTCTGAAATATCCATACGCATTCTAGCTAATTTAGACGTAGGCTCTTTTAAAGAAAATAAATAAGATAAAGGCTTGTGTTCTGATCGAACTGTGAATCTTGAACCAAAAATGTATGGATTCAAGAACTTTATAGCCCAATGAATAGCTGTTAGGGAATTTTTTCTATAGTAGATTTGTTAAGTTCTCCTTTTGTAAAACTTTTTGACGCATAAAATATTCGCCATTAATTTTCTGCGAAAGTATAGCACCTGTTCCATATTTTGCTGCATCAAGTGTTATAATAAATGGTAATATTCCTTTATCAGTACATTTGTGCCCTAAATAAACTTTATTTTTTTAAAATTGATTTAATTTACGTTTAAATTTCCGACAAGTTTCAAAAACTTCTTTAAGATTTTCCAAATGATGATTTTCAGAAGATCCTAGCACTATTAAATCATTTGAGTATAAAAAACAAGATGATGGTGATTAACCAGAAAAAGCAATTGACTCTCTGAAATGAATGCAGTATAATATTTCGAGAATCTGGGTGTAACTTGACTTGAAATCCTGAAAATAAGTCTTAGACTGAAAATTATTTTGGTGTACCCAGATTATCTAAAATATCATCATTTTTTTTATTAATTAATCTAAAATCCTCTCACCATTTGGGGATTTCTTAGGTACTAAAATCACTGGGCAGATATACTATGCTCTATTATACCTGATTTTAACATTTTATCTACCTGTTTGTTAATCGCTTTTTTATGAAATTAAAGTATAATCTATAATTTTTAATCAACAATGGGGAATTATCACTAAGGCGTAGTTTTTATTCATAAAAATGTTTGACTGAAGCTGTGTATGTTGCTCCTCTAATGCAAATACATATATATGCAAGTTCATCACATAAACCTTTAATTTTACCCAAATTAGAAGTGTTATTTGCTTGTGATAATTTCGGCTAAACTTTCTGTTTTCTATTGGATGTTTCTTTGCCAAAATAATAAATATCACATTTTGATATATCTTCTGTAATTAACTTTATATTATTATTTAAAATTACGGGTTTATCAGTGATCTTTACAACTCTCAAAATTGGATTTTTAGTTAATAATAATAATGTCTTTATTTCAGAAAAGGCGCAGTTCAATCTACGGCTGCTTTTCCATTTAACCTGAAGTCATTGTTCTCGCAGTAAAAACACCTGGAGGTAATTCTTCTGATTCTCCATCAGTACCTTTAAGTTTAAAAGGTCTAAATACTTCACATCTGGGTGGAATACTATTGCATCCTGATCTGGACCTTCATGTATCGGTAAGCTAACTTCATAATATGGAAATTTTATTGCAAAAATCATTGTTTCATAATCAAGGTTTCAATGATATTTCTTTAAAAAATCTGTACCCAAAATTCCGTCCGCTGGAATTGGGAAAGTTTCCTCTACTACCTGAAACGTATATGTTCGAAAGAGTGAGAATTAACTGAAAGTGGTGAGATTATTGGCCCAATTGATATAATAGTGTTCTCTGTTATTCCTTTTATATTTAGGTACGTACTCTTCCTTATCAACTGAATTATTATCCGTTATAGTTCCACTTTTAATAACTGATATATCTACCTGAGTATCTACTACAAAACTTAAATTCGAATGAGATTGCGAAGAGTAAATAATGACATACCTAATCAGAATAAGATAAATTCATGTGAAAAATATTAACAGATCTGTAATGGTTTAATTGTCTCCCAGGGATTTTGGGAGATCCCTCTACCCTTACTATTATTCTGGTAAAAATGTTTCGTCCTATTTGCGTTAAAGTTAAAATTTCTTCTATTACTGTTGCTGTCACGGTTAAAGTTTGTGCGGTCATTTCCCTTAAACTGATTTCCTCCAAAATGATTTGTTGATGTATTACCCCTAAAATAATTTCCTGTTGTACCACAGCTAAAGTAATTTCCTCTAGAATGAGTTCTTGATGTGCCGCCCTGGAACCTATTTCTATTATACGCTAAAATTTGTCTATCCGCTACCTCATCACAAATTTCAACTACAAATTTTGCAAGTACTTCCTTGTGGTTGTTGAAATTTCCACTAGCAAGAACTGATTTTACTAGATCTGATCTAGCAAACTTTCAACAAGTTTCAACCATTTTCCTTACCACCATTAATTCAGCTTTTGAATCCGAGGTTCCTTCCATTAATGAACGTTTTAAGCATTCGGTTAATACATCTGCCTCCTTAGTGAATGTTTACAAACTTTTCTTATCCGTTCTTAATACTAAAAGCCTACCTTCTATTACTCACCTCAGAAAAATCTGATTTAATGTTTGCCTTTAATGCATTTCGAAATTTCTTATAGGTATCCGCATTTGTAGGAATGGCTTCCAAAGCTTTTCCTTCTAACCTGGTGTTGATAAATTGTGCAAATAAATTTCAATTTTCTGTCGTAAAAATGCATTTAGGTTATCTGAATCACCAGAATAAGATTTTACTAGAGAACTAGTTGTTTTAAATATCATGCAGACGATTCCTCCATTTTGTTACTTACAGACGGTATTGACTCAGTCTCCAAATTTCCGAACTCTAACTCAATATCATTGTTACCTTTCTCGATAGCATTATCTGAGAATAATGCCATTAAACCATAGGTACCTAATCCAGTTGTGGGAGTAGTAAAAACTTTGTATGTTTGTATTGTTCGTTTCCCACAGTTGCTATCTGTTGTAGGTAACAAAATATTCACACTGAGAGTAACGCCCTCCTTTTCAGAAATGAACAAGCCTGTAAATCGTGCTTTCATTATAAAAACATGGGATTTGAAGTAGCTTTTGTAATGCTTGGATTCAATTCAGTGTAGCTAACGTAATCATGACATGGGATCCATTCGAATTCCACTTTGTTAATTGCGCCTACACGCTCGAAGAAAAGTTGTCATTGTGAAAGATGCCAAAAGAGACGCATTTCAATTCCCATACACATTTTATACAACTCAAATCTAGAAAGACCAATCTACTTGAGATAGAGAAAGGAAGTTATCTCCATTCGCTTGAAGAGGCGTAGACCTTCTCCTTTAAAATAAAATTGCGTGCGACAAACCAAAATTCGCGACCCGCAAGTTAGATTTCTTTTGTACAAAATAGTCTTTCCGATTTATACACTAGCGATAATGTTTGGTAAAATATTTTGCTAATAGTGATATAAAAATAGAAAGTTTGAATGAAACTTTTCGAGTTGTTTTACAGAGTTTAAAAAGGCTGTGTGTGCCTAATGGCATGCAGTTATACGCCATCCACAAAACATCTGTTCAACTAGCTCAAAACAAAACAACCTTTAAATTTAGAATTGTAATTATTTTCTACGTAGACGTCACAATGAACAGTCGCAATGTTGACTTTAAATTAATAATTTGGGAGACTCAGTAGCCTCGACAAATTCCAAAGAATTAACTACACAACTGTTCATTAACACCTGAGATAATTCTTGGACACACAGAAAAATCTGATACGAAAGCTCTATCCGAGTCGCACAATGGATTCGAATAAGCATACAATTAATTGATTGACAATGACAAAAACGTATCCCGAAACACATGAATCAAAAACCCTGAAAGAAAAAATAGATTATAAAGCTTGATTGGACATAATACCCCGCATGCAGGCGGTCGACAAAAAAATCTTAAATTGTTTACACGTTTTTTAAAATATCTGCTCGTTTGCGATGTTCCGCCCGGTGACGATGGCAATTAAATTTCCATGCGTTCTAACTTTTACGTTTCAGCTGTTTGTTTAAACGAGGTGTAATTGTGTTAAGGCCCACGAAAAAAAGAAACTGAAAATCGACACGCACTGCGAGGTATAATCGGCCGACTGATTTTGCTAAGGTCATACGCCAATAAAATCAACAGGAAGAGTGCAACTTACGCCATGTTTAGGATTCACAGGGAATCACAGGGATACGCGATCGCATATTCCCTTACTGCTACTGCAAGAAAACCCTTAAGTTTCTTTTTTTCATTTAATTAATCGTCTCTTTTCATAAAGGTTTCTTTATAATACAACAGGAGTTGCCAGATTACTTGTGCCGAACTGTACCTGATCTCTAAACAACTACAATATTGGGGATTGTACACTGATAGGTATATAATTATTAGTGATCAATCGAACTTACTTTAAGTGAAGTTCGATCATAATTATATGAAGTGTCCAATCCAATCCAATTTTGTAATGAGCCCTAAATTTAATCGTTTCCGGGTTATCGAGTTTTGAAAATAAACGCTCATTATTTTATTAATACATAATTGAACAAAAAACAATAATTAATGATTTCAAACAATCATAACAAACTTCACAAATGGTTCTTTTCAGGACCATAGAATGGTTTCAAAAGAAATTCGTAATATGATTAATTATTGATAGTGCCTAGTAGACATTAAAGAACCTCAAATCTTTTGTATAAAGTTGTTCGATACCTTGTATATTTTCCTCGATAATCGATCTTTTCCAGACTTATCAGCGACTCTGTATAATTATGGTTGAACTTCACTTAAGGTAAATTCGCTTGATCACTAATTCTAAAAGTAAAAACAGACACTGAGATGACACATTTAAGTAAAATATACCAACCTTATGCTTATACGTAAATAATCCCAGATTTAAACTTAATAAATGGAAATATTCTAATATACAGGGTGTCCCTTCATTATTTTTGGTGTTTGACCGAAATCACATCTACAATACAACTTAGAAATCCACGATTGTTGAACCCATTAGTCTTTTGTCTTGCTAACTTCATGAACGGGGGAATTACAAACAACCCTTTTGATTTTATCCCTATAGGCATGTGTGAAGGTACGGAGCGCCAGCTCTCAATTTTGTTTAACTGAGCGTCTGTGTTTCACAATCCGCTGTAATTTGCGCTCTTTCTTCTAAATCAATTCAAATAACTCGTGAGATTTTTTAATTCGCCCATCTTGCGGCTGTCACGTTTTATAAAATCAATTTAATTACGCTCGAGCTGAGCGATTTTAATTTTCGTAAAGCGCCACCCTCCATTTTAAATCCGGGCTCGTCGAAGCTACCCATTGCTACAGACCGCAAAAAAGTTGATATGGATGTAAATGGCCGGGCTAGAGACGTAGGCGCTAAAAAGTCCAACTAAATGCCATTAAAGTAAATGAAATATTCAAACAAATTGAATGGGGGAGAGATATTCGCACAATAAGATTGAAACGGGCGACAAATACACAAATCGCCTCAAGCTTTGCAGCTTTCTGTTATTGTAGATATGTATACATATAAAAGGCTACGTTGATGTATTGTATGCAAAGTACTGCACATTTTTCAAAATGAGAATGGAACTTTCCGTTTATCTTTTAATTAAATAATTTGCATCGAACTGAATGTTTTATAGAGAAATAGAGTTGAATAATTATTAGAAATTAATCCCCTTCTTTTATAAAAGCTTTAATTAGAGTGGTGTAATTAGAAAAAGATCGCACAAAATGAAAACTTAAGTCGTCTGTCGGGAAATTCGAGGCACAAATCATATTTACTTTACCGCATAATAAAAGCTTCCTTATTATAATTTCAGAATTATAAAAAAGACCGAAAATGTTGTACAAAAAAACAAAAACCTTCTGCGCCATTATTTTTCTCTTGCATACATAATTTATAACGTTGCTTAGATGGATATTATCGGCTTTCTTTGTAGGGACCAGTAGATATTTGATTCGAAGGGGATTTCGATTCGGAAAGCAGAAAAGCTTACCTCCGTTGACATCTTTAAGTTATAACATTTATCGTTGTTTAGATAGGCGAACCTAACTTATGTGACGCGTTTTGTTAGCAAATGACAAAGATTGTCGACGTTTAATGGAAATTTAAGTGGCAAAAAGTTTCCACGATCCTTTTTACTTATATTACTATAACAGATGGGGTAGGAGTTTGAACAGTATTTTTGAAGTAGGAGGATGAGCTTTATTTGTGAAAATAGAGCTTACATTGTTGTCCTCGAGATTTTGTGGTTTTCACTTTGAAACCACGAAATTTAAATTTTCGCACAATAGAATCACTAGCGGTTCGCCCACAAAGAGAACGTTTGAAGGGATGCGTGTAAACATGATGAAGTACCTACCTACGCTAACTTTTAGGGACGCATTGTTTTGTGAAATTATATAAATGACCATAACCTTGTAATTCTTTTGTGCGTGTATACAAACTACTACATATTCGAATACAAAGCAATTTAATGTAGTAATGTGTGCCGCGTTAAAACTGCACTATTAAAAACCGTACGTTGCAATGAAACTAAGTGGCAA